TTGCCACAGAAAGTGGCAGTAACGTCCGGGTGTTGTCATGGCAATGGTAAACTGGCATGACACACCAGTGGGTACATGTTCTGGAGAGGTGCTTTTACCTCTTCCCTGTTATAGCTAGTCGTCATTCTGGTCTGATGTCCAAGCCCTGTCTCCAGAGTCCCACCTTCTGCCTCCTCACTAAGACCACAGGTGTTCAAGCAGCTTCAATCCTTCCCCAGAGGCCTCTCAGATGTCCAGGGGCTGTGCTGTCTCTACGGATCATCACAAGCCGCTCTGTGCCCCCAGCCTCTCATCCTAGGCCCTCAGCCATCATGACCCCTCCTAAGAGAGAACAAAACAATCCCTTCGCTGCTCCACTCTGCAAGATTTACAGGTGAGCCCTAGGACTGGGCGTTCCAATTCTTCCCCGATGTGGCCCTGCCTTGCCTCACTGGGTCCAGGACAAACTGTTCGCCAGTTTCCAGCCTGGAGAAGAGCAAGTTCTGCCTCATGGCAGCATTTATCAGCTAAAACGGCCTGGTTCTGTTTGCACCTGCGTGCGTTCTCAGGCTCCAGCCAAGGATTCCCTGGGGCTGCCCACAGTCAAACTGCCTTGCAAAACTGCATCTTTGGCTTCAACAATTTCTAAAGAATTTCTAAATTTCTAAATAACTTACTCGAGAGAAAGAAAAATGAATCCAGACAAACCGTGCAATGCACCAAAGAAATGGAATCTATGTAGAGATTAGACTTCAGAGGAATGAGGCAAAAACAGGAAGCGATTTCAACATTGGAGGTGGGCAGCGATGGACGTGCATAAAGCACTGCTCCCAGCCGGGACAGAATGCTCCCTCTTAAGCACACTGGCAAAATGTGCTGCAATTGCCCAGGCCGAAATTTTTACAAATTTCAGAGAATTATTATCAAACCGAACTTCATCTTTAAGAAGAATATAATTAAGTTAGAGATCAGTAATAGAAGAGCATAAACGGCTCTAACGTGGTTGAACTGTTTGGAACACAGTTTTTTGTTTTGTTTTGTTTTGAGATGGAGTCTCACTGCATTGCCCAGGCTGGAGTGCCGCAGCGCAATCTCGGCTCACCGCAACCTCTGCCTCATACGTTCAAGCATTTCTCCTGCCTCAGCCTCCCGCATAGCTGGGATTACAGGTGCCCATCACCACGCTCAGCTAATTTTTGTATTTGTAGTAGAGATGGGGTTTCGCCATGTTGGCCAAACTGCTCTCAAACCCCTGTGATCTGCCACCCTTAGCCTCCCAAAGTGTGAGATTACGGGTATGAGCCACTGCGCCTTGCCAAAACACAGTTCTAATAATTTATGGATCAAAAAATCATAATTGGAATAAAAGTACATTTAGAACTAAATAATGAAAATACAAATATCAAAAGTTGTGTAGTGCAGCTAAAGTCATGCTTGATGGGAATTTAAGATCTTAAATGCTACATTTAGAAAAAAAGAAACCATGAGTTGGGTTTCACCTAACAAATTTTGGAAATAACACAGAATAAATCAAAGAAAGCAGAAAGGAGATAATAAAGATAAGAACAGAAATTAATAAAAGAGGCTGGGTGTGGCGGCTCACGCCCGTAATCCCAACACTTTGGAAGGCCAAGGCAGGCAGACTGCTTGAGGGCAGGAGTGCAAGACCAGCCCGGCCAACATGGCAAAGCCCATCTCTACTAAAACTACAAAAATTAGCCAGGGGTAGTGGCGGGTGCCTGTAATCCCAGCTACAGGAGGCCGAAGCAGGAGAACTGCTTGAACCTGGGAGGCAGAGGTTGCAGTGAGCCAAGATCACACACCACTGCACTCCAGCCTGGGCGACAGAGGGAAACTCCGTCTCAAAAAAGAAAAAAAAAAAAGTGGCTCATGCCTGTAATCCCAGCACTCTGGGAGGCCCAGGCAGACGGATCACAAGGTCAGGAGTTCGAGACCAGCCTAGCCAACATAGTGAAACCCTGTCTCTACTGAAAACACAAAAAATTAGCCAGGCATGATGATGCGTGCCTTTAGTCCCAGCTACTCAGGAGGCTGAGGCAGGAGAATTGCTTGAACCCAGAGGGCGGAGGTTGTGGTGAGCCAAGATCGTGCCACCGCACTCTAGCCGGGCAACAAAGCAAGACTCCATCTCAAAAAACAACAAAGAAAAAGAAATTCAGAAGAAATAAATAGAAAACAAAGACGCACCCGCACTCAGACCCTGAATGCATGCTCTGCACCCTGTGTTTCTTCCCTGCACAAAAACACCAGGAGGAATGGGGCCCAATCTAGCCTCATGCCAGGGCAGAGGCGCTGCTTTTGAACTCAACCACCTTTTGGGAGCCATTTGGTTTTTTGGTGGGCTTATGTCCTCCCATTTAAATAGACTTTAAAGCAGTTTTGGGTTCAGCAGAAAGTACAGAGAGCTCCCATACAACTTTTGTCCCCTCAACCTGCAAACCCTCCCGCTTCCCATCAACATTTCCCACACAGTGGTAAGTTTGTTGCAACTGATGCATCCACATGAAGGCATCTTAATCACCTAAAGTCCTTAGTTTACATAAGGGCGCACTCTCGCTGCTGTGCATTCTATGGGTTTGGATGAATGTATAAATGATGTGTCCTTCACTATGATATCATACAGAGGAGTTTCACTGCCCTAAAAATCCTGTGCCCCACCTATTTACCCCCTCCAAATCCACCTGACTACTGATCTTTTGACCATCTCCAAAGTTTTACCTTTCCTAGAATGTCAGAGTTGGAATTATACAAGATGGAGTCTTTTCAGATCAACTTATTTCACTTAAATAATATGCATTTACGTTTCCTCCATGTCTTTTCATGGCTTGATAGCACATTTCTTTTGAATGCTAACTAATATTCCACTGTCGGGATGTCCCACAGCTTTCGTATCCGCTCACCTATGGAAGGACATCTTGATGGATTCCAAGTTTTGACAACTACAATTGGAGCCGGTAGAAACATCCAAATGCAGGTTTTTGTGTGAGCGTAAGTTTCCAACTCATTGGGATAAACACCAAGGAGTGCAATTGCTAGGTCCTAGTGCAAGAATATGGTTTAGTGTTGTAGGAAACTACCAAACTGCCTTCCAAAACGGCAGTATAATTTTGCATTCCCACGAGCAAGGAACGAAAGTTCCTGTTGATCCACATCCTCAACAGCACCTGGTGTTGTAGGTGGATTTTTGTTCTGTTGCTGTAGTCTGGATTTGACTATTCTAATAGGTGCTTAGTAGTATCACATTTTTGTTTGAGTCACTTATTTTTATTCATATAAAAAATGTATGAGCTAGTTGTCGCTGATATAGCAAGTGTGAACCCCAAATATCTAAGATAGGCATTAGTCAATTAAGGTTTATTTTGGCTGGGCGTGGTGGCTCACGCCTGTAATCTCAGCACTTTGGGAGACTGAGGCGGGTGGATCTCGAAGTCAAGAGAATGAGATCATCCTGGCCAACATGGTGAAACACCAAATCTACTAAAAATACCAAAATTAGCTCGGCATGGTGGCATGCGCCTATAGTCCCAGCTACTCGGGAGGCTGAGGAAGGAGAATCGCTTGAACCCAGGAGGCAGAGGTTGCAGTGAGCCAAGATCGCGCCACTGCACTACAGCCTGGCGACAGAGTGAGATTCCATCTTAAAAATAATAAAAATTAAAAAATAGAAAGTTCATTTTGCCAAAGTTAAGAACACACACCCGTGACACAGCCTCAGGAGGCCCTAACAACATGTGCCTAAGGTGGCTGGGGCGCAGCTTGCTTTTTACATTTTAGGAAGACATGAGACATCAATCAACATATGCAAGATGAACATTGGTTTGGTCTGGAAAGGCCAGACAACTTGAAGCAGGGCTCCGGCTTCCAGTTAATAGGTAGGTAAGAGATTCTTTTGAGTTTCTCATTGGCCCTTCCACAGGAAGCAGGCAGATGCGCATTTATCTCAGTGAGCAGAAGGAGGACTGAGTTTTTGTCTGTGCTTTGTCCGCAAGGAATTTCCTTGTGGACAAATTGTGAGGGAGGTATGCAGCTTTTTAATCTTAGTAGCCATCTTTTTCAGGAATAGAACGGGAGGCAGGTTGGCCCTAAGCAGTTCCCAGCTTGACTTTTCCCTTTGGCTTAGTGATTTTAGGGTCCCAAGACTTATTTTCCTTTGACACAAGTAAGCCCAAAAGTTGGGTTTTCACAAGGACAACCAAAATATTAAGAACCTGAGAAAAGTCTAAACAAAGCATATACTTTCGTTTCTCTGAATCCTTAATTCTGCTATATTCAAAACTGTGATGTGTCCCTTTAACTGGAAAATAGATGGCACTTATGCGAGCTGGATTTCTGACAAGTAGATTGGTGTTTGGGAATGGGACAACAAGCTGGGAAATTAGCGTATCTCTCCTCATTCTGTGTTGAGTGGCCATTAAGGCAAATTTGCCACTATGTGCCACGCTCTGCCCAGGGCGTTAGATCCGCAAGGGCCCCGGATCCAGTGGAAGGCGCAGAGGCTGTGGACACTGGACATGGGTCAGCTGGGGCCTCACGACGGAGCAGCCAGGCTCCACCTTGGGGTGTGCGGAGGTCGGTTTGGTGAATAGACACCCAGACCCTTCTGACTGTCATCCAAGGAAGAAGGAAAACTACTCTTTAAAAAGGCAGAGAGGGCCAGACACGGCTACTTATGCGTGTAATCCCTGCACTTTGGGAGGCCGAAAGTGGAAGGATCACTTGAGGCCAGGAGTTCGCGGCTGCAGCGAGCCACGATCCCGCCACTGCACTCCAGCCTGGCCGACAGAGCGAGACCCTGCCTCAAAAAAAAATCTTTTAAAATAATAGTAAGTAAATAAAACGGCTGAGGGGGCTTAGGTCGTCCTGTATGAGGGGAAGGGGCTCTAAGCGGCCACCTGGGGTTGCTGCATTATCACGTAGACCCTCCTCTTCCCGTGTGGAAGACCCTTTTTAATTTTTATTTATATTTTTTATTTTATGTATTTGTATTGAGACAGAGTCTCGCTCTGTTACCCACGATGGCGCGCAGCAGCGTGATGTGGGCTCACTGCAACCTCTGCCTCCCGTTTTCAAACGATTGTCCCAGCCTCCCAAGTAGCTGGGATTACGGGCGTGCAGCACCACGCCCGGCTAATTTGTATATTTTTAGTAGAGACGGGGTATCGCCATGTTGGCCAGGCTGGTCTGGAACTCCTGACCTCAAGAGATCCACCTGCCTCTGACTCCCAACAGGTGTGAGACACCACGCCCGGCAAGTGTGGGAAGCCTTTTTTAAAAATGTAAACTCGCGTGCCCGAAAAGCCCTCTAGGAGGGGAACACCGGGAAGAAGCCTCCTTCCAAAAACAGGGTAGAACTGGGGTGAAGCACGGAGATAACGGGAAAACCTGAATGAGCGAGATCGTGCGCGCTCCTGCCCGCGTGTGCCTGCGTGCGCGTCCATGCGGCCGTGACGGCGCCCCGGGCACCGCCTTTTCTAGACGTGCGCGCGCCCGCAACGCGCCGCCCGACCGTAAAGAGGCTCCGCTGTGTCGTGAAAGGAGCCGCAACGCGCAGGGCGCTGGTTGACGGCTGGGACTCCATTTTGTTCGCCGCTATTCTGCTCGTAAGTCGCTTCTCCGTGGCTTCTCTGAGGAGAAAAGTTGAAAAAGGGTATAAAAGTTTTCCGTCATATTCGGGCTTTCTGTTGCTAAGCATAGCGAGTGTCGGTTTTCTCTCTGCAGCAGACATCGCTACTGCGGCTCCGAGGCAGCGGGAGGAGATGCGGCCCCTGGACATCGTGGAGCTGGCGGAACCGGAGGAGGTGGAGGTGCTGGAGCCCGAGGAGGATTTCGAGCAGTTCCTGCTCCCGGTCATCAACGAGATGCGCGAGGACATCGCGTCGCTGACGCGCGAGCACGGGCGGGCGTACCTGCGGAACCGCAGCAAGCTGTGGGAGATGGACAATATGCTCATCCAGATCAAAACGCAGGTGGAGGCCTCGGAGGAGAGCGCCCTCAACCACCTCCAGAGCCCGGGCGACGCGGCCGAGGGTCGGGCGGCCAAGCGGTGCGAGAAGGCGGAGGAGAAGGCCAAGGAGATCGCGAAGATGGCAGAGATGCTGGTGGAGCTGGTCCGGCGGATAGAGAAGAGCGAGTCGTCGTGAGCGCGGTCGGCGGTGAGTCGGGCACGCGCGGGGCCGAGGGGCTGGGGGCGACGGTTTCAGGAGGCCGCGGGGTCCGGGGCGGGCGGGGGAGTAACGGTGCGCGCGGGGCGGGGCCGGGCCGCGGCTTCGTGGCTGGTTTTTGGACGGTGGCGGCGTGGGATAGTCCGAGTGGCGGGGTTTGGGCGTGATGCGTGTTCAAGGGGAGTCGCCGAGGAAACAAAAACGGACCGGGGCCGGGCCATCCGGCAAGCGGGGGTTGGAATGAGAGGGTTTTCGGGGAAGGAGTTGTACACTTCGACGTTGCTGGAGACTGGAGTGAGTCAGGTGCTGGCCCGAAGAGGCGGCTGCGTGCGCGGTGGCGTTCGTGAGGGTTGGGGGTCGTTGTGCCCGGGATTGACCTGTCGATGATGAATTTCTTCCCGTTGTGCTTTAGGTTTGCAGCCAATGGATTCTGGTCAACTGGTGGAGATTGGCTGACACCCTGGAGGAGCTGAAACCAGAGAGCCTTTTGTTTTCTCTTTTTTCCTCTGTCTACGCTCTGTCTCACTTAACACTACGTTTTCTGCTATGGTCTGTGGTTAATGACCTCAATATGAGTTTTGATTGTTCAGTGTTTTTGTTTGGAAAGTAATTTTGTTTGGAAAATGCTCTCACGTGCAGGAATTAGGGCCTAGATTGTAAGCTCTTGCAGCAGTCACATTTGTTCCCGGGCTTTGGTTGTTATTTCTAAATTTTTGAGGTGCTTTGCTCTTTCTTGTGTGACCTGATAGCTTCCCTGGAACTTTGGGTCTGTGTGTGGCGCCTGAGACTCACAGTTGGAGTTCTCCAGCTCTGGAGGTGCTGAAGGAGCGGCATTCATTCTGGAAGACGGCTCCATGCGGCACCTACTGAGGAAAGGACCAGACTTCGACTGGGAGTGCAGATGGGCCGACCTGGCTGGGACTCACGATTCTGGAGAAGAGCTGGAGAACGGATAGTATTGTCTGTATTTGGAGACTTTAATTTCTGTGTGAGACCAAAGGAGGAGAGATGTATTTTGTTCAAAATTTCAATTTTATGTGGTACACTATCTGATGTAATCTATCTGGTGAGTGTTTGGGCAACCTAACTCAGCTTTATTTGACATGGAACCTAAAATAGAGGATGAGATCTTGGTATTCTGTACAAGTTGATGTAATACCCTGATGCGTGTTAGGGGACTTGGCATAAAATGAAAGATTTGCAAAGGCCCTTGGGCTGGAGGATGAGAGTATGGAACTGTCAGCATTGGACCCTAAACTGGACTGGAACAGGCATCTTCAAGGTTCATACGTTGTCCAGCTATAAGTTCATTTCAGTAGCAGACCTAACAAATATTTGAGGTCAAAACCCTACCATGTTAAAAAACAAACAAACAAAAAAAAAAACTTACCATGTTAATAAAAGTATTCAGTTGCTTGAAAAGACAAAAGATCTAAAAGGTTATTAAGAAAAGTTATTCCTTTAAGAATGAAATCTGCTTTCTCCCAGATTGTTCTGTCAAATGGAGTGTGAATGTCTTAGGTTTCTGAGGCTCCTAACCTCTAATCAAAGGGAAGCTTTATCTCTGCCTGCTGTTGGGAACTGGGTGAGGGAAAAACACACTTGGTTCTTAGTGTAGGAAGTAACCACAGGTAATCCTGTAGTCCAGGCCTCTGCCTTCAGAGAGCCAAAGTATTTGCAGTGTTTCCAACTGGAACGTTGTTTCCTGGTCCTTGCACTGGGCATACAGCGATTAAAATTGAAGGGTGAGGAGCGACATACAGTAGATGTGGCGATGTGCCAGCCTCCTTCCTGAATGAAGCATTTATCTCCTAGCTGCTAGAAGTGTTGCTGACAAGACAGCCTTCAGCTGGTTGGCCCTCTGGGAAGTGCCTTTTCAGAGGAGAGCTGCTTTAGCCAAAGTTAATGTCCTTTCTCCTGAGTAACCTACATCTAGTGACTAATGGGCTGGAAATCTCAGGTCTCTATTTCTCTTACCCAACTTGGGACAATTTTGAGGGACATTGCTTCTGAGCTCCTTGTGGAGTCTGCTGAGGCTTTTGTTAGGACTGCATCACATAGCCCACCTCCTCCCTCTTCCCAGTTTTGCATTCCTTCTCTTCCACAAGTGTTAATCACTAAAAAATGTGCTTGTAGTTTTCATCTTGGAGTCTACTTTCTGGAGAACCTAGTTGGTAGAAAAAAGAAAACCATGTGTCCCAAGCGCTAACAAAGATAGCGTGTCCCAGGAGAACACTGAGGGGGAGGTCTAGGAAAGCTTCCCAGAGCAAGCAACTGGTGAGCTTGGCCTTGAAAGAGGAGTACAGCTTCCAAGGTCAGGAAGAGCATGAGAGGCACACTAGACACAGGAAACAGAAAATGGAAGACGTTCAAGGTTTTCTGTGTGCGTTCCACACAGGAGGGGGAAATGTGTGGGGTGGAATTATGAACCGAGAGACAACCACCAAAGCTGCATTTCATACCTTTGCCAAAACAAATTTAGCATTGGTACAACACTACCGACTCGACTTTACTCTGATTTCACCAGTTCCCCACTACAGCCCTTTTTCTGTTCTGGGATACAACATTGCATTGGGTAGTTGATTTCTTTTAAGGAGTAATATTTATAAATAACAAAAGTGATCCTTTCTCACTCCCCAGCTTCTCAGTTGCCCTCCCAGGAAACTACAAGTTGCTTGTATATCCTTACAAATACTAACATTTGAACGTACATATAAAACGCCTTCCACAGTTTTTTTTGAGACAGGGTCTCTGTCTCTCGCAGGCTGGAGTGCAGTGTTGCCATCACTCACTGCGGCCTTGACCCCCTGGTGTCAGGTGATCCTTCTATCTCAGCCTCCTGGGTAGCTGGGACCAGGCATGTGCTACCACATCTGGCTAATTTCTGTAGTTCTTTGTGGAGGTGGGGTTTCACATGTTGCCCGGGCTAGTCTTGAATTCCCGGGCTCAACTGATCACCTCAGCCTCCCTAGTAACTGGACCTACAGTGTTAGAAATAGATGCTTGTTGCCACAAAGAAAAATTAGCACTGAGACAAAGGATCTTCCAGCAACACAATTTTTACTTCCTGGACTAAAGGAGGGGCACCCTCACTAGCCATCGTGCTGCAAGAGTGCAAAGAACAAAGGAAAACACACAAATTTATCTCTTACCCATTTGAGGTCGTCCTTACTGCTGTGTCTGATCTCCATTGACTGGAGCCAGACTTCACAGTTTAAACTAAAACCCAATTAGCTAATAACTTGAAACTTTTCTAAACACATAAAAGCAATGGAGAGCTGGGACACGCCTGTGAGCACGTCCAGCACAGATATCTTGGTTAAAGTGCAAGGACCTAGAATGTACTACGTGCCTGTAAGCATGGCATGTCTAACAGCTACGTAGGATGGGGCTTCACAAAGAGCTATTAGCATATTTATTCTTTAACAAGAAAATAAACTTTAAAAAGGAACTTTCTACTTTCCACATACAGCCATGCCACCGCCCCGACCAATGTTTGTATTTTTTGTAGAGACAGGTTTTCACCATCTTGGCCAGGCTGGTCTCGAATTCCTGAGCTCAAGCCATCCGCCTGCCTCTGCCCAAAAGCGCTGGCACTCCAAGCATGAGCCACCGCACCCAGTCCACCTGTTTTGTTTTTTACATCCATGGTAGCACACTGTATACTCTGTTCATGTCCTTCATTTGTCTGTTTACTTGGGAGTTTTTTCCTATCTAACATCTAAATCTGCATTCTTTTTTTTAAAGGCTGCATAGTGTTCATTCTTATGCCAGAGTTAGAAAACTATTGTCCTAGGATCTTTCCGTACTCCTTAGTTCCTTGTTTTTTATGATTCTGGTCACAGTTGCAATGTAGCCACTAATTCCCAATTGCCCCAGCTCCTGAATTTCATACTCCTGGCTTGCTAGCAATTGGAGGAGCAATGAAATCTTGCATTTTCTCAGCAAAGAATGTGACAAGAAGCCATTCTGAGAGTCTTACGTGGCTGTACAGTCATTAAATTTTCTGGCTGGAGTTGCCATAATTTTTTTTTTTTTTTTGAGACAGGGTCTCACTGTGTTGCCCAGGCTGGAGTGTAGTGGCACGATCTCGGCTCACTGCAACCTCTACCTCCCAGGGCTCAAGCAAGTCTCCTGCCTCAGCCTCCTGAGTCGTTGGGTGTGCCACTATGCTCTGTTAACTTTTGGCATTTTTAGTAGAGACAGGGTTTCACTGTGTTGGCCAGGCTGGTCTTGAACTCCTGGCCTTAAGTGATCTACCTGCCTTGGCTTCCCAAAGTGCTGGTATTACAGGAGGGAGCCACCGCACCTGGCCCAGGTTTTTTTTTTTTTTTTTTTAACAGATCTCACTCTGTCTCCCAGGCTGGAGTGCAGTGGGACAATCTCAGCTCACTGCCACCTCCGCCTCCTGGGTTCAAGTGATCCTCCCACCTCAGCCTCCTGAATAGCTGAGACTATAAGCACGCGCTACCACTCCCAGCTAATTTTTGTGTTTTTAGTGGAGATATGATTTCGCCATGTTGCCCAGGCTGGTCCCAAACTCCTGGTCTCAAGTGATCCGCCGACCTCAGCTTCCCAAAGTGCTGGGATTACAGGCATGAGCCACGGCACCCGGCCCATAATTTTTCATTATAGATCCACATGTGTCTCTTGAGCCTCAGGCTCTCTATCCCTTTCTTGGCGGTCCTCCAGAGTCAGGTCATAAACCACCGTGCAGAAAGGTCCATTGGGGTATGGGTTCCTGACACTGCAGAGGTCACCCATCTTTGCTCAGTATTAAGGAGGTGTTTCAGGTGGGACAAGTGTCCTCATCAATGTGCTATTACAGAAGGAAGCATGGGGGCTGTGGGAGGGAGCACAGAGGCGTCACCTACCCCAACCTGGGGGGTCAGAAAAGGTATCCCTCCAGGAGCAGATGGGAGAGGTGTGTGACAGGCTCTGAGGAGGAATGAAGCCGAAGCATGGAGAATGCTCAGAAGCTGCTGGTTCCATCTTGGTCAGAATCAGGCTGAAGAGACCACAAAGTACTGCAGAGGCTGCCGGGCATAGTGGTTCACACCTGTAATCTCAGCATTTTGGGAGGCTGAGGCGGACGGATCATGAGGTCAGGAGTTCGAGACCAGCCTGGCCAACATGGTGAAACCCCGTCTCTACTAAAAATACAAAAAATTAGCCAGATGTGGTGGCAGGAGCCTTTAATCCCAGCTACTCAGGAGGCTAAAACAGGAGAATTGCTTGAAGCCGGGAAGCGGAGTTTGCAGTGAGGTGAGACAGTGCCACTGCACTCCGGCCTGGGCAACAGAGCCAGACTCTGTCTCAAAAAAAAAAAAAAAAAAAATACTGCAGAGGCCTCTGCATCGGCATCTTCCACCAGCTGAGATGCCTTGGAACCACAAACTTAATTCTGATGGACATCAGGTAGAACTGGGACCAGCCAAAGACACAATCAACACTTTGAGGGGACAAAAAACAAGTGAACAAATGTGTCACCCATTGTAGGGCAGACATTCCAAAGAGTTCCTAATCCTGCTGAAGATGAAACCTCAGGGCATTCGAGGCTGCCACGGAGTGCAGGGGCAGGGAGACGGGGACCCCGCTTCACGGCATTCTGCTGCCTGCCCTTGCTGATCCTCAACTAAAACCGGCTTCTCTCTGAGGTTCTTTCCACCCTGTCATTCTGTGTGACTTCTAGCGCTAACGCTTTTCTAGGTTAAAATATAAAATTCATTAGTGCTGTTCACCAAATAAATTTCAATTTTCTGCCTTCTAGGCACAGAGTAAGATAGATGGTACTTCCCGGCCCCCTTGGGATTGGGTGGGGCCATGTGATTAATTCTGGCCAACGAGTTACAAAGCAAAGTCACATCTGTTGCATCCAAGCCAGAACCTCCAAAGTGACACCCTGCAGAGCCCTCTCTTCCCTCTGGCACAGGAACCAGCAACATTCCAGGTGGTGGCTGATGGCCGGTCTGCATTTCCTTAATAAGCAGAGTTCCCTGCCAATCTATCATGAGCATGTACCACAAACAAGGAAAAACCTTAGTTGTTTTAAGCCACTGAGATTTGGGGATTGTTTATTACAATAACAACTTAGACTAAGATGACTGATCCGGATGCTCATTATTCCTTCCATTTCTAGCGTTTTGATGAAAGCGTTGTTCTCCCTTCTACCTGAGGCCCGCTGGTCACATCCCTCCCGCTAGCCCAGGCGTGGTCCAACGGGTGATCTCCCATCTCTGGTCTTCACGTGTTTCTCTTGATTTTCCTATGCCTTCTAATGACTTCAAGGTGAAAGAACATGCACATTCAAACTCCTGCTCCTGGCCATTCTCCCCCTTCCAGGCAGCAGATAAACATGGAGTAGCCCGAATTTCTACCTCTTCCAGAGATGAACGGGGATTTATTACCCTGGTTAATACTGTGG